AAGAGGGTTTATGCGTCCTTTTACTAATGGGGTATAATTATGTCTACCCTACTTATAAACTCATCTATAACCGCCCATGAACCTCCAAGCAGGGCTCCCGAATCTACTTGGCGTTTCAGTCGGTTCAGAGCCCTGCCATTAGCCAAATGGAAATGCGAGAAAGACTGCCCTGAATCTTGAGCCCAAATCTCTGAGTCAACCCTAAACCCTAAACCCCCCTAAACCTTGAACCCCCCAAACTCTGAGTCACCTTTTCAAGCGAGGGATGCTTCATCCCACATATGTTCGCCTCACCATTTGCCTCCTTATCAAGCGCTTGAACATTGAAGCTTTCAGACCTATCAGTAGTAGTTATAGCAGCAATAATATAACAGCAATAGTAGTAATGGTGATAATTGTAATTGAAACGCTGCGCGTCGTCCGCCTCGGCCCGGCTGTACGCGCATGCGGTGAGTGGTTATTATCTGCAGCAAGCTCTTGTAGGAGAAAAGTAACAGTTGGAATCGCACTTGTAGTAAAAGTAATGTTCGTAGCAACACGAAGCAGGATGATTGTGAGTAGTATTAGTAGTGGTAGTATCAGTACGAATTTTGGTGTCGTCATTCCGAAACACTGGATACCAAGACTCTCGCAAGCGGCGGGATGCATTACAGTCCGGTGTCGTCGGAAATTCCCAGAAAGCTCGCACGGGCGGGAGGGTGGGGGAGGAGGGGAGGCGGGGGGGCAGGGCGGGGGAGGGGGGCGTCGTGCTTTCGGGTGCAGGTGTTGTCCGGGCTTTGAAAGTTTTTCAGGCTGGGGTTAGGGTGTAGGGGGTTTGAAACTCCCTTGGTACTGCAGCCTTACAGGCGAGCCCCAATTTTTCAGGCTGGGGTTAGGGTGTAGGGTTAGGAATTCAGGTTTGAAACTCGCTTGGTACTGCAGCCTTAAAGGCGAGCCCCATAAAGATGCTACATTGCAGTCCCGTGTCGTCGAAAATTCCAGGGCGGGAGGGAGGGGGGGAGGGGGGGAGGGGGTCAGGGGGGGAGGGGGGGAGGAGCTCAGTGACACGTTTCCATTTTTAAGGGCGGGGGGGGCGGTGGCCCCGATTTTTGGTCTGGGGTCACTGGGGAGGGGATTAAGAGGTGGGGAATAGAGGGAATCCGAATAGGAACCTCTGACCGCTTCGGCCGGGGCCGAGGCGAATAAGAAGCAGTGCTACTGGTAATCATAGCAATGGTAAGATTTCAACCCCTTGGAGCAAGGCATGCTGGCTCGTGCTGTGAATTGCGCGCAGCGCGTGCGATAATGCCTGGGCAGGCCTTGGGTGGGTCCCGTGGCCTTCTTGAGCTCAATTTCGCTAGCGCTATGGACAAGACCATCAGTAGTGGTAAACCCCAAAGCTCAATTCTGGTCTCGCCCCTCACCCCACACCATGTTCTGTGCATCAAGCCCGGAAACAAAAAGACAAACAAACCTTGCAACACTTTGCATGCAAACTTACAGCGATGTTGAGAATCCCGAACTGGAGAAACCCAGTGCCAAAGCAATGACCAAGCCCTTAAAAAAGAGGCCTTAACACTGACCTAGACTATCGTGCGGTTCCTTATTGTTTCGATGATCGGTTAACATACTCCAAACCATATTCTAGTTATCAAGGCACCTATATCATACCAACCGAAACCCTGAGGTCTCAACGCAGACTTCACAGCTTTTCCAGTAATTGATTCAGAAAACCCAAACCATAAAGAAGTCTCAATCCTTGAATCCGTAAATCATCAGCCCGAAGTTCCCTAAGTTTTAAACTCCAGACCGTACACCTTGCATTCGCAAGCCCTAAATATTCAAAGCTTAACCCACCCGATGTCGGCTTCAGATGAAAGCCAGCTCGATCTTTGCGCCGCTTTTGCCCGATAGGGGACCGGGAGTGGTAACATCTCCCCGTGTTTCAGGGCCGTCAGGGTTTATAGGGCTGTTTTAGGTTTCGGTTTAGGGTCTTCAGGCGTCGCGTCGGGCAAGGGTTCAAGTTTCGCAGCTGTTGAGACCACCTCCGGCAGGGAACGTTTTCAATAGGGGCCAAGATCTAGAATTTAAAACCTCTAGACTGTGATTCCAATCCTTCTGTTTTTCTCGCTGAGCCAACAACTCGAAACTCCCCCCTTCCCAGGCACTCCAAGTAGGCCGGATAGGGTAGCTATACGGTATAGCTACTTAAAGCCCAACTAAGGTCCTGAAAGCCTGCAGCTCTGCTTACCAAGTCCCGTGAGCCTTTATGTATCGAGGGAGGGGGGTTTAAGAGCCCTGTGCTGAAGCATTCGCTTAAACCCAGCCTCCGAACCGGGACTTCTGACTCCAGCAAATATACCCTTTCTCCCACCCTAACCCCAGATTGCAGGGTCCCTGCCGAGCACGTAGAGGAACTTGTGCACTCCTGCAGTCCGGGTCACACCTCTGCACCCGAGATCGTGTGATTGAAACTCCTCCGCTTAAGTGTGAAATACTGTCCGGTACTACTATAGGGTACTGCTAATTACATGGTGCCACCTATGTTATTCTTGTAAGATACTGCTAAGCTATCTAGAGCTAAAGGCATGATCCTGAGAACCTAACTCCCGAAGTCTTGCCCTAAACCCTAACTCTAAACCCTAAACCGAACCCTAAACCCTGACTCTAAACCTTAAGCTAGACCCTAACTTTCTACACGATCCTCCGACTTCTCACCCTCGGTCTGCAGCCCCGAGACCCCATTCAACCCAGAGTCCCCTTTTCCGTAATCCCTTTAAGACCTTAAATGCTAGGCGGAAAAAGGCCTTCAAAAAAACAGAGCCCGAAGGCCTACTAAGCCCGAAGCTCTAGGAATTATGTGCTCGTAGAGCCCTGGCAGGCAGTGTAAAACCTCGAAACCCTAAGCCCTGAACCCTCAACTGTGCAGAAAAAGGCCATCAAAAAGAGACCCTCAACTGCAATGAAACCCCACCGTTGCTTGGATGTGCACCGGACAGACATGGAGTAGCCATGCACGGCGAGGGTTTGAGACGGCTTTGCAGCCTTCATGCTAAGGATCGAATGCAAGGTTGATAAGGGGTTGGTGAGGTTGTTAGAAAGGTTTCAGACGGTTTACAGCCGTTTTGATCCACCAATGTCTGCATTTGTATCTATGTCGTATCTGTAACTTTGCCTGTCGATGTGCTGTCCGTCTGCCCGTCCGTCTGCCCGTCCGTTCGTCCGCCTGTCCGCTGTGCGTCCGTCCTTCTGTCTGCCGCATGTGTGGCGGCATTCGTTTCTGTCGGCCCTTTCTCTACGCATCATACACATGTGGCTACGCACTTGCACGTGTAACGTGGTATCTAGGCACATAGATGCAGATCAATCAATCAAACACTCATTCCATCCAGCTACCTATCTATATGCTTGTCTATCTACCTACCTGTTCATCTAAACATACATTACATACATACATGCATACATACGTACAAAGAGAGACAGACGGACGGACGGACAGACAGACATACAGACATGCATAAGTCTAGAAGTATATATATATATATATATACACATGTACACACCCTGTGTGTATGTGTATATATATATATATATATATATAGATAGATACATAGATAGATAGTGCCCGCTTCTATGTGTGCGTGTCTGCTCTTGCATATGTGGTACTTCTCTGACAAGCCGGATCCTTGTGTGCGTCTCCACGAACGCCAAGATAAGCATGAGCCATGCACCTAAACTCCGAGCCCTAAACGGCTCGTCACAGAGCTGCCGAAGCCTGAGAACTCTCGCATTGCACGCCCGGGGGATAGATCCGAAGGATTCCAGCCCTTACGACCGTAGAAGACAGACTGGTGTCGAAGCGAAGCAAAGTGTGTACGGTCTCTTTGGTGTGTGGGCTTTGAGTGGCTTCGGGCTTCGAACTCGCCCAGAACCGCCAGTAGGCCGTAAGCATAAACTCAGGCCGGAAGGGTTTTGTGCATTAGCTTGAGCAGTGCTTGGAACGAGCGAGCGTGGGTGTTCTCTATAACCCTCGAGTGCAGGTCACTCGGTTTCAGCGTTTCTCTACGTGGAGGTTCATGGGTAGTTATAAGTGGGGTAAAACGTCGAGTAACTGTAATTACAACCCAGACAAGAGGACTTATAACCCTACTTATAACTACCCTAAAACCCTATAGAGCCAACCTTCTAGAGCCCTTACAGGAACCTTGGAAACCCACTTATAACAACCCATGAACCTTCAAGTGCGTTCCACTCACTTCAAGGCTTGCTCGATTCTAGGGCTGAGGGCTTTCAGACTTTAGGGCTTGTAGGCATCAGGGCTTCAGGATTTAGTTTTGGGGGTTTAGGGGTTTTGGGCTTTAGGGCTTTAGGGTTTAGTTTGGGGGTTTGGGGGTTTTGGGGCTGGGTTTAGGGTTTAGGGGGTTTACAGCGCCCTCAAAGCACAATCTCAACCGCTAAACTAAGCGATTGAAACTTTGAGAACCTCACCCCCCGCAAACAAACAATAAGCTTGGCCCTAAGACCCTTTACCCTGAAACCTCTGAAATGATTTAAACATCTACTATCGGGGCCTAAATCATTGCCTATACTATTTAGTATACTATACCCCCAAGGCCCTATTCTAATCATTCAGGCCCCTACACAAAATCCTTAATGGCCCTTATAGTAGCCCTTATAGACCCTGTTCTAATTATCAAGGCCCCTATACAAAATCCTTGACATAGCCCTTATAACTATAGTAGCCCTTATAGACCCCTTTAGAGGAACCCTATTCTAATTATTGAGGTCCCTAGATCAGACTCAAACGATGACGCACGCAACTTGGACCTTCTGAGCTTTTCGCGGTCTTGGTCGGGCGGCTTGCTCCAGCTCCGGTGATGACGCATTAGTCAATATGATTATTACTGGTTAGAGTAGGGTATATTATGGTACAGCACAAAAACACATGAAAATTTCGCATGATTCTCATGAAGCAGCTGCTCGCGTGAAATTTTGTTCACGTCCTACGCTCGATTTCAGCCATGGCTTCTGTTGTGGCTCCGCTCCTTGGCAGCGGTGCTTCTGCGATCGACCAGGCGAGGGCCTCGCCCCAGGCCGTCGGCGCGCGGCGCGCGTCTCTCCGGCCTCTCCAGGAAGCTTCTGGCGGCTGCGGTTCTGCTTGCAGGGCCTCCGCTGTGCTCACCGCAGCCGGCGCATTCCTCAGCCTTCGGAGGTCCGAGCGCTGTCGGCGCCAAGCCGCCTCGGCCTCTTCCTCTGCCTCTCCGCGTGTGGCGGTGATTGGCGCTGGCCCGGCCGGCTTGGCGACGGCCCTGGCCCTCCGAAAGGAAGCGAAGCTCCAAGACGTCACGGTCCTGGAGCGCTCGCCTGAGCTCAGGCGCGGGACTGGACGGGCAACAGTCCATCGCACTTCCCCTTAGTTGTCTAGCCGTGAGGAGAGCTCTGCGCAGCTTGTGAAGTTGTGCTGTGGGGCCTCCGCTCATGAGCGGTGACCTCCGTCCCGTTGTGGACGTACCCCATAACCCCGACCCAGCCTCCGAAGCCTTAGCTTGGTTGAAGAACTGAACCCGTAGAGCTCTAATCTCCTGCAACACAAGCCTTGAACCCACTTTTAATCTGTAACCCCTGCATCAAATAAGCCCTTAGTCCACCACGAGCCTTCCGCAGGCCAGGGGTGGGCGGCGGAGTGCAGCTGCACTCCGGCGCCTCCTTGCTGGACACCCGGGTTTCACTCAGCACTTTTGCTCTCGTGTTCTCTTGTAGGCTTTGTTGGCTTAGATACCTTCTATAAGTATATGCCATACCTAAACCCTAAACCCCTAAACCCCCAAACCCTAAACCCTAAAGCGCCTGCAAGCCAAACTGGCGAAGGAGCTCTAGAGCTTGCAGGTTTCCCACAATTTTTCGTTTCAGAAGCGACTCCGAATCCTTGCCCCAGAGCCCAAACTGCCAAATTCGAAGCTCTTTGGCTGCCGCTTGGAGCTTGAAGCTCTTGAAATTCCAAGAACCCTAAACCTTGCATAGCGGACATGTTCAAGAGCTTCCTTGAGACGGGCGAAGGTATGTCCAAGAAGCAGCCTAGCTGATGCTGATGATGCTCGCTTGTTTAGTGCTGATGATGCTGCCTTGATTTGGTAGCCCAGCTCATGCTGATGATGTTCGCTTTGTTGGGGCAGCTGTCTGATGTGGTGCGCCTGTGCGAGAAGCAGCTCAGTTGATGCTGATGATGCTCGCTTGTTCGGGGCACCTGCCAAGCCAGAGTCCACCTGATGCTGATGATGCTGGCTGATTTGGTAGCCCGGCTGATGCTGATGATGTTCGCTTGGTTGCGGCACCTTCCAAGCGAAAGTCGTCGTGATGCTGATGACGCTCGCTTGTTTGGGCCAGGTGTGCAAGAAGCAGCCCAGCTGATGCTCATGATTCGCGCTCGTGTGTTGCACTCGCCTGACGCTGATGATGCTGGCTAATTTGGTTCCCTTGTGCAAGAAGCCGCTCAGCTGATGCTGATGATGCTCGCTTGTTTAGGCTCGTTTGGTGCACCTGCCAAGCGAGAGTCCAGCTGACGCTGATGATGTTGGCTGCCTTGGTGTACCGATGCAAGCAACAGAAAAGCTGATGCTGATGATGCTCCCTTGTTTGGGGCACCTGTCAAGCCCGAATCCGCGTGATGCCGATGATGCTGGCTGATTTCGCGCCACTGTGGATAAAGCAACCCGGCTGATGCTGATGATGCTCGCTTGTTCGGGGCACCTGCAAAAGCCAGAGTCCACCTGATGCTGATGATGCTGGCTAATTTAGTGCTCCAGCGAAAGAAGCAACCGTCTGTTGATGCTGGCTGATTTGGTGCTCCTGTGGAAGAGGCAACCCAGCTGATGCTGATGATGCTCCCTTGTTTGGGGCACCTGCCAAGCCAGAGTTCACCTGATGCTGATGATGCTGGCTGATTTGGTGCCCCTGTGGTAAATGCAGCGCAGCTGATGCTGATGGTGCTTGCTTGTTTGGGGCACCTGCCAAGCCAAGTCCACCTGATGCTCATGATGCTGGCCGATTGGGTGCTCCTGTGGAAGAGGCAACCCAGCTGATACTGATGATGCTCCCGTGTGTTTGGGGCACCTGCCAAGCCAGGGTCCACCCGATGCTGATGATGCTGGCTGATTTGGTGCCCCTGTGGAAGGAGCAACCCAGCTGATGCTGATGATGCTCCCTTGTTTGGGGCACCTGCCAAGCCAAGTCCACCTGATGCTGATGATGCTGGCCGATTTGGTGCCCGTGTGGAAGAAGCAGCCCAGCTGATAATGATGATGCTCCCTGGTTTGGGGCACGCGCCAAGCCAGAGTCCACCTGATGCTGACTGATTTGGTGCCGTTGTGGAATGAGCAACCCAGCTGATGCTGATGATGTTGCCTTTTTTGGGGCACCTGCCAAGCCAAGTCCAGTTGATGCTGATGATGCTGGCTGACTTGGTGCCCCTTGTGACAGAAGAAGCAACCCAGCTGATGCTGATGATGCTCCCTTGTTTGGGACACCTGCCAAGCCAGAGTCCACCTGATGCTGATGATGCTGGCTGACTTGGTGCCCCTGTGGAAGGAGCAACCCAGCTGATGCTGATGATGCCGCCTTTTTTTGGGGCACCTGCCAAGCCAAGTCCACCTGGTGCTGATGATGCTGGCTGATTTGGTGCCCCTGTGGAAGGAGCAGCCCAGCTGATGCTGATGATGCTCCCTTGTTTGGGGCACCTGCCAAGCCAAGTCCACCTGATGCTGATGATGCTGGCTGATTGGGTGCTCCTGTGGAAGAAACAACCCAGCTGACGCTGATGATGCTCCCTTGTTTGGGCACCTGCCAAGCCAAGTCCACCTGATGCTGATGATGCTGGCTGATTTTGTGCCTCTGTGGAAGAAGCAACCCAGCTGATGCTGATGATGCTCCATTGTTTGGGGCACCTGCCAAGCCAAGTCCACCTGATGCTGATGATGCTGGCTGATTTGGTGCCCCTGTGGAAGGAGCAACCCAGCTGTTGCTGAAGCCAAGTCCACCTGATGCTGATGATGCTGGCTGATTTGGTGCCCCTGTGGAAGGAGCAACCCACTGCCAAGCCAACTCCACCTGACGCTGATGATGCTCCCTTGTTTGGGGCACCTGCCAAGCCAAGTCCACCTGGTGCTGATGATGCTGGCTGATTTGGTGCCCCTGTGGAAGGAGCAACCGAGCTGATGCTGATGATGCTCCCTTGTTTGGGGCACCTGCCAAGCCAAGTCCACCTGGTGCTGATGATGCTGGCTGATTGGGTGCTCCTGTGGAAGAAACGACCCAGCTGACGCTGATGATGCTCCCTTGTTTGGTCCACCCTGATGCTGATGATGCTGGCTGATTTGGTGCCCCTGTGGAAGAAACAGCCCAGCTGATGCTGATGATGCTCCATTGTTTGGGGCACGTGCCAAGCCAGGGTCCACCTGATGCTGATGATGCTGGCTGACTTGGTGCCCCTGTGGAAGAAACAGCCCAGCTGATGCTGATGATGCTCCATTGTTTGGGGCACGTGCCAAGCCAGGGTCCACCTGATGCTGATGATGCTGGCTGACTTGGTGCCCCTGTGGAAGAAACAGCCCAGCTGATGCTGATGATGCTCCATTGTTTGGGGCACCTGCCAAGCCAAGTCCACCTGATGCTGATGATGCTCGCTGATTTGGTGTCCGTGTGGAAGGAGCAACCCAGCTGATGCTGATGATGCTCCCTTGTTTGGTCCACGCCAAGTCCACCTGATGCTGATGATGCTGGCTGATTTGGTGCCCCTGTGGAAGAAACAGCCCAGCTGATGCTGATGATGCTCCATTGTTTGGGGCACGTGCCAAGCCAGGGTCCACCTGATGCTGATGATGCTGGCTGATTTGGTGCCCCTGTGGAAGAAACAGCCCAGCTGATGCTGATGATGCTCCATTGTTTGGGGCACGTGCCAAGCCAGGGTCCACCTGATGCTGATGATGCTGGCTGACTTGGTGCTCCTGTGGAAGAAACAGCCCAGCTGATGCTGATGATGCTCCATTGTTTGGGGCACGTGCCAAGCCAGGGTCCACCTGATGCTGATGATGCTGGCTGACTTGGTGCCCCTGTGGAAGAAACAGCCCAGCTGATGCTGATGATGCTCCATTGTTTGGGGCACGTGCCAAGCCAGGGTCCACCTGATGCTGATGATGCTGGCTGACTTGGTGCCCCTGTGGAAGAAACAGCCCAGCTGATGCTGATGATGCTCCATTGTTTGGGGCACGTGCCAAGCCAGGGTCCACCTGATGCTGATGATGCTGGCTGATTTGGTGCCCCTGTGGAAGAAACAGCCCAGCTGATGCTGATGATGCTCCATTGTTTGGGGCACGTGCCAAGCCAGGGTCCACCTGATGCTGATGATGCTGGCTGACTTGGTGCCCCTGTGGAAGAAACAGCCCAGCTGATGCTGATGATGCTCCATTGTTTGGGGCACGTGCCAAGCCAGGGTCCACCTGATGCTGATGATGCTGGCTGACTTGGTGCCCCTGTGGAAGAAACAGCCCAGCTGATGCTGATGATGCTCCATTGTTTGGGGCACGTGCCAAGCCAGGGTCCACCTGATGCTGATGATGCTGGCTGACTTGGTGCCCCTGTGGAAGAAACAGCCCAGCTGATGCTGATGATGCTCCCTTGTTTGGGGCACCTGCCAAGCCAAGTCCACCTGATGCTGATGATGCTCGCTGACTTGGTGCCCGTGTGGAAGGAGCAACCCAGCTGATGCTGATGATGCTCCCTTGTTTGGGGCACTTGAAACCTTAAACCGTAAACCTTACATCCTAAACGCTGGAAGCAAGGGAACCTTAAACTCCTAAATCCGAAATCTTCACCCCTCAGTGATGGTGAGGAAGAACTGGGTGTGGATCTCAGCTTCGCACAGCCACTTCGGCGGATTCGGTGCCCCGACTGCGCCCAGGATTACTTGCAGGTTCATGGGTAGTTAAAAGTGGGGTTATAAGTCCCCTAATATGGCTTATAATTATGGTTACCCCACTTGTAACCCCACTTATAACTTCCCACGAACCTCCAAGTAGGGCTCAGGGAGTGCCGGGTCTGTGGTTTTAGGTTGGGGTTTGGAGGAGTGTAGGGATTAGGGTTTGTGGGATAATTCTGTGCATCTTCGTGATGGGGTTCGAGAACTCCAAAGCCAGAAAGCCTTCGGGATCCTTGCGGCATCCTTTTCGTGAAGGGGCAAACTGTTGAAACACCTGCTCTTGGGTGTGTACATGACATACTTCGTATGCCTTCAGGGGTTTGAAACTCACAGGCTTTGTGTGGAGGCCTCACCTCGAGAAACGTTCGAAGTGACATTGGAAGTAGGGTGGCTTTCGCTACTGGTAAAGCAGCGAACTCAGAATCTTTATGGCCTGAGCTGTGAAAGCTGGGCAACTAGGACCCAGAGTAAACCCTTATTCCCTTTTTTTAGGGTTTAGGTTCCCTTACAACACCCTTTAAACCCAAAAAAGGGCACCCTTTTTATTCCTAGGTTACTCTTAGGTCTGGGCAAGAACTTCGAAATTCCAGCAGGAAAGCCGAAGCCAAGTCGTGGTCGTCTTCTGCTCTCCGCCTTGCTCCTGTAGATTTTGGCGCGCCCTTCTGAGGGCGCAGTTGTATCGGAGCCCAACTTCCTAGATGCTGCTAGGTCCAAAGCCTAAGCCATCCTGGTCCTGATATCCCGAAACCCTAAACCCCCCAACCCTCATCTCCTGAATCTGTCACATCCGCGCCGGCAAAAAGAGAATCACAGCGCATAGAAAGGCCTCGTGGCACCAGGCCAAGATTCGGGCCGTCACCTATCGATTCTTTCCTCTTGCTTATATGGGCATCAACAATTGGAGCAGGGTTTTTGGGGTCATATCGCGTAAAGAAACAAACACTATTGGCAATTATTCAAGTCCTTGACTTCTTGAGTTTCATGTTACCCCGTAATTCTGCAAGCTGGAAATGCAGATTGAAAGACCTGCCATGCCCTGGATGCCAAAATCGCGAAGCTTAAGTACTCAAGTCCTTAGCCGCATGGGAGCTTTCGAACGGTAGCCGGCGGAAAAAAGCCTTGCGCAAGAAACCCATGGTATAATTGTATAATATCACCCAAAACTCTGTTCTAAATATGAAGGCCCCTATATCAAACCCTAAACCTTAAACCTTCAACTGTAGAAGAGGAGTCGTTCTGCAAGTGGCGAAGACCTTCTGAAACTGGACCTCCCGAGCTTGATCGAACCTCGGACTATTTGCCAGAGGGTTCAGGGTGGGTTCAGGGTATACCTGCTGAAAATGATAGTAAGGAACCGAACAAACTGCATACGCACCTGCCTACATGCTTACATCCACAGTTTTCATTGTTTTCTAGATTATGCACATCAGGACTACCACACACACACACGTGTATATAGAGGTAGGTAGCTAGACAGATAGATGGATAGGTGCATGGGCAGACAGATCGATAGATCGAACTACAGGTAAAGCCAAGAGAGCAGAAACAATGAGAGAACGAAACATGTCAATTTAGTTCGGTCGATAGAAAATTAGAGTTTATGTAGACCTAGATAAAGATAGGGTAGATATTTCATCATTCATGGGTTTAGGGGTTTAGGGTTTAGGGTTTACCCGAAGTGCGAGGACAACTTCGAGGCCTTCTCCGGCTCCGTGCGCCGCTCTGATGGAGAGCCAGCGAGCTGCACCGCCTCCGTTGTTGCACTGGGAAGATTTGCAGAGTTTTAATGGGTTAAGGGTTCCTTTAAAGGGGTTCCTTCTCAAGAGGATTGCTGTAAGGATTGCTATAAGGGTTGCTATAAGGGTTTAGGGTTTGGATTAACAGTTGAGGGGTTAAGGGTTTAGGGTTTTAGGGTTTAGGATTCAGCGGGTTTAGGGTTCCTTTAACGGGTGCTATAAGGGCTCCTCTAAGGGATCTATAGGGTTTAGGGTTTAGGGAGCTGAAATAATGACCAATCTATTGTGGGGGTGTCTTATTGTAATGATAGTATAGGGTGCCCCAAAACCCTATGCTAATTATTAAGGCGCCTATAGTAGTTATAATGGGTTAGGACGCAGTGTAATCGAGTACAAGACACTTCGCATAAGGGTTCTGTGAGCCTTGGAACGTTGAGAAGGTTTTAATAGGGATTCTGTACGGCTTCTGTAAGGGAGCTATACTTTTGTTTAAAGGGTTCTTGTAGGCCTCTTTAAGGCTCTAAAATGGGTTCTGCAACGCTGTTGCAGCGGTTTTGTACGGTTTGTGTAAGTATCCTTTTCGGTTTGGGATTTAGGATCTGGCGGGTTGGGTTTAAAGGGGGGGGTTTAGGATGTCAATGTGCGAAGAGTACTCTGGAACCTCGACCCGTCAGGAAACTCTAGACCCGAAGTCTTGGAGGCAAGTCCCGAAAACCCCAACTCTAAACACCAAGGAATAATCGTAGTCCCTTAGATTACCCCTCCTGGTAGAGCTTTTTGGAGCTCTTGTAGTCTCCCTTAAAGCATCCCCTGAACCCGACGACCCCAGAGGTCATGCGAGATGCACTGCTGGAAGCCATGGCGCGCGAACTTCCGCCGGGAAGCATTCGCTTAGGCACGAAGCTTCTGGACGTGGAGACGAACCTTGGCACTTCCAAGCAAAAAAGAGGTTTGAATACTCAGTAATTGTTAGTACTACCACCCTTTAGAGTCCCTATGATTATGATAAACTGCCCTAAACCCTACACCCCGAGCCCTGAACCCTAAACCTTAAATATGATAAACTACGGAGTCACAAAGCCCGGAAGATCCTTCTCTGTTGATTCAGCACCTTAAGCTCGGCCCGAAACTCGAAGCACGGGGGCCCTTAACCTTAAACCCTCAGCCTTCAACCCTAAATTCCCCCAAACCCCTAAGTTCCCCAAACCCCTAAGTTCCCAAAACCCCTAAGTTCCCAAAACCCCTACTGTAAGTCTTCAAAACCCCTAAATCCCCAAAATCACACCCAAACGCCCCCCCAAAACCGACAAACCTCCAACCCGCACAACCCAAAACCCCTCAATAAACACTTCAACCCCCCAAAACCTCCAACCCGTTTAGGCCCCTTAAAAGAACCCTGAAAGTACCTGTAAAGGTACCTCCAACTTTCTAAACCTATTTTGGGGTTCCCTTAAGGATTGCCATAGCTGGCCCGATGTAAGGGCTGTTACAAGGAGTTTCAGTGCTGAAAGCCATGGAGTCTAGCTCTTTCACTTGGTCCGACACCAAAAGCCTTAAACTGCCAAAACCTGCACACATGAACCTTAAAGCTTCAAACTTCAGTTTGAAAAACCTTCAAACCTACACCAGATGCTTATAGAACCTTTACAACAACCCTTGTTGGAGCCTTTAGAAGAACACGAAAAGAAAGCGACACCGGTGAACGAATCATTCGAGGAACCCTTGTTGCAGGTATATCTACACACATATATATATATATATATATATATAAATACATATATGTCAGAAAATAGATAAATAAATAAATAAATAAATATAAATATATATATATATATATATGCATGTATACACCCTGACGCCCAAGAAAGCTGCCGAGGAACTCGGATGGGCAAGCGGCGTGCTTCGGATCGAACGAGTTGGGGTTTAGGGGGTCTTTTGATCAAGGGTTTATGGCTTAGGTTTTCGGGTCAAATTAAAGGATTTGTGTTGGTTAGGGTTTCAAGGTTCTGGGGGTTCGTTTAAGGCTTCCCTCAAGACGTTCAGGAGTAAGGGCCTTGTAAGGGGTTTCGGGTTGGGAAGGTTTAGGGTTTTCGGGTTGACGGTTTAAAAGCTTGAAGAAACAATCCTTGGTCAAGGAAAGAACCTGCAGAAAAAGGCTTGCATTAGTAGTAGTAGTAGTAGCAGCAGGAGTAGTAGCAGGAGTAGTAGTAGTAGTAGTAGTAGTAGTAGTAGTAGTAGTAGTAGTAGTAGTAGTAGTAGTAGTAGTAGTAGTGATAGTAGTCGTGGTGGCGCAGACTTTGTCGGGCCGAGCGCTTGAGCCTGCACAGCCCATTTGGGCTCTGGAGTGTTGCGTCGTCTGGGCCCTGTTGTGCCGGGCGTGCCGGCTTCGAAGTTTGAAATGTCCTTTTTAGTGTTAATTGGGGTTTTGGGGTATATGATGGTTTGACTGTATTAGACAGTACGAGTGGCCATGCTTGACACAAAAGAGGCCAAGGAGAAGATGCTACAGCCCGGTGTTTGGCATGCTCTGACGCAGAGGAGTGCCAAAACATCGCCAGATTTAGGGTCTAGGGGTTTAGGTCTAGCGTTGTAGCCAACCCCACACGGGACGGACGCAGATATTTCGTCCTATTGTCAGTACGTGAGTCTGGAGGCAAATCTGCCAGCTCTTTATCGTGCTTAGACTTTTGGTCCCAATTCTCCAAAGCCGGTCAACATTCTTTTGTCCGTAATGAAGCTTGATAAAACCCTTCAAAAGTTTCAGCTTTCAATGAGGCTTCGTGGCCGAAAGGGAGCTCAGGAACCCTTTCAGAGGCAGGACCCTAAAACCCCAGGCCTTGCACTCAGCCTTTAAACTCTAAACCCTAAATCCCTGAGTATGTCGTGGTTTTGAGGCGGAGACTCGTATGTGCATACACAGCCGCCCTCGCATGCTGAGGACGTGCCGCTTCGAATCCGGGGAAGAGGCGCGACCGATTTCTAATTAAACTCGAAGCCTCCGAGTGTAGGGAGGGGTGAAGATTTAGGGGACTTCAGGGGTAAAGTTTTCTGGTTGAGTTCTGTGGTTTAGGGAATATACTTTCGGATTCAGGTTTAGCGTGGAGGGTGTGAAAGTAGTGTTCAGGCAATCTCAAGCCGCAAACCGGCGATCGAAACCCAAAGCCCAGGTGAAGGATCTAGCGCCGAACCTTTTGGTGCTAGGATGTCCGCAGCAAACCAGCTCTGTGCGTAGACATGAAATCAGAGGTTTCATGCCCAACCGGAGAACCAGATCAGTTCTGCAAACAAAGCTTTGCTGCACTGTCGAAGCTGATCTTATCATCCCCAGTGTCGCGACAAGCAAAGTCAGAATCGCATTCGAACAAAAACACCGCTGAGGATGTGCCGCAGGGACAATTGCAAGTATCGCCACGAGTCTTCGGTGTAGGGTAATCCGCTAACTTGCCCCGTAGCCGACCCCCATCTAGGACCCGAAACCTGCGCATGTTGCCCTAGACCCGAAGCCACCCTAAACCGAAGATAAACATTGTGAGGTCCAACCCTCGCCCGAAAGACGTCATCGTGCGCCCTGAACCCTCAGCCATATGCGCAAAGCCCAACAGCCTAAAGCCTCAAACCCTAAGCACCCCTAAGCCCTTGAACTCTTCAACCTTAAACCCTTCAACCTTCAACCCTACTTGGAGGTTCATGGGTAGCTATAAGTGGGGTTATAAGTAGGGTAATCATTGTTATAACCCTTATTAGCGGACTTATAGCCCCACTTGTAACTACCCATGAACCTGCAAGTAGACCCTTCAACCCTCAACCCTTCAACCCTGTAAGCCCCAGACCTGCGTGGCCAGGAGTTCGACCTCGTCGTCGCCGCGGACGGCATCGGCAGCAGGGCGAGAAGCTGCGTGCTCGGGGAGGAGGACGAAGAGGCGCCTCGATACACAGGCCATGGGGGGGTTTAGGGTTTAGGGGGTTCAGGGTAGATTGGGGAGGGGGAGGGGGGCGGGGGGGAGGGGGGGGGTGGGTGGTTGGGGTTTTAGAGGCTCAACTAACCATGTTCCTTCGTAAAATTTCCATGTTTTTGCTTTGTTAAGTCAGGCCGTGGGCGGTGGCTTGAGGTCTAAGGCCTAAGCTTCCAGGTTTCAGGGTTTGACGCTATCTGAGGGCTCTGATGATACTGCTGATGGACAAAATCCTGCATTACCCACTATAAGCAATATACCATAGTTCCCATAGTTCAGAGTCCTTAAGGTCATGCAGGATTTTGTCCATCAGCAGTATTGCAGGCTGGGGGCTGATGGGGTTCGAGCCGCACATCACCTCTCGGAGTGCTTCACCCAGCGAGCCCAACACCAAAGTCCATTTTTCAGAATAGACCCCCCTCAACTCTACATGCGCGCGCACACACACCCACCCACATATATCTATATATATATATATACACACACACACATACATGTATATACCTATATGTGTAGAGGCATATGTATACATACATACATATATATATATATATATGTCTGGAGTTGTATGTATATATATATATATATATACATATACATATGTATAGAGTTGTATATTATATATATAACGACACAGAATACAATATATTATCAGGTAATATATACATATACATAACATATATGTATACATGTATGATTATAGGTGGATAGACAGATAGATGTAAGTCTACAGAGGGCAGCCCTTTTGTTGAATTCCACGGCTAACCGGCGTCAAACCTCCGCCGTCAGCCGTAAATCTTAAACTCCAAACCCAAAACCCGATTTCCTCAACCCTAAATCCTAAACCCTAACCCCAAAACCCTCAAAACCCTAAAAGCCTAAACCCCAAACCTTGAACCCTGCATCCTCACCGTCCCAACCACATTTTCATGCACGGGAGAGTTAGATAGAGGCCCGATCAACCATGTAAAGCTCGGGTTTAGGATTCAAGGTTTAGCGTTTAGGGTTTAGGGTTCAGGGGTTCGGGTTTAGGGTTTAGGGTTTAGGGCCAATCGAAACCCACAAAAAGGCCTTGAAAAAGCAGGCCTTCGCATCCAGTATGGCGTCAGAGAGGCTGGTGGACGGCCGGCCGGCTGCGAGGAAGAAGTCCATCAGTGGTTTGGTCAAGGCCACGTGCTTTAGAATCTAATATGTGGCTCGGAATAGTTGGTAGTAGTATCCCCGTACTTATCCTAAGCATGGTAGAGTTTGCCCCCCAAAACCCTATTCTAATTACCAAGGCCCCTAGACTAGGCCCTAGGCGTATAGGCAGTTTGAGGGTGGGATCTGGGGATGACCTACTTAAAGGATCATGGGGCTAAGGGATCTATAAGGGTTCCTTAAAGGGATCTATAGGGTTTAGGGTTTAGGGTCTACTTAAAGGATCATGGGGCTAAGGGATCTATAAGGGTTCCTTAAAGGGATCTATAGGGTTTAGGGTTTAGGGTCTACTTAAAGGATCATGGGGCTAAGGGATCTATAAGGGTTCCTTAAAGGGATCTATAGGGTTTAGGGTTTAGGGTCTACTTAAAGGATCATGGGGCTAAGGGATCTATAAGGGTTCCTTAAAGGGATCTATAGGGTTTAGGGTTTAGGGTCTACTTAAAGGATCATGGGGCTAAGTAACTAGGGTTATAATTAGGGGAACTATACTTATAACCCCAATTAGGGTACTTATAATCTTACTTGCTAAGTCCCATGATCCTCCAAGTAGGGTTCAGGGATAGTTGGCTTTAAATGGTTCAGGGCCTTCTACGGTTTCGGGTCTGGGATTTTTGTTTTGCAATGTCTCGGGCTTTAAACCCCGAATCCTACGGAAGCCGTTCAAGAGTTCCAAGGTTTTGCGCCTGGGCGTCAATTGTTTGGGCTTGAACCTGAATCACTTAGTAAGTAAGGTTATAAGTACTTTAATTGGGGTTATAAGTATAGTCACCCTAATCAATAAGTATAGTCACCCTAATCATAACGCTAGTCCGAAGCCCGAAGCCATGAGCCTTGAACCCTAAAACCGCAAACCCCAAGCCCCAAGTCCCAAGGCCCGCACCCCTGCGCATCCGAGCCCCCGCGCCCGATGCACGCAACTTCACCACATCCCGAACATCTGTGCATCCGGACCGAAGTATTTTTGCTGCGACTGCAACCTTCGAATCTCGATCCCTACATATCCCCATATCTTGCAGACCTCTAAACCCTAGGCTTCTTAAACCCGTAAACCCAAAAGGGCAACTTCGCGTGTTCCCGGCTCCGAACACTGAACCCTTCTGGCTTGACGTCCAAATCCAAACTTGCCTCCTGAGCCATTTGTTTCCCGTTGATAAACCGTACAAGACCTTCGTTGAACACCTAAACGAGTCTGGAAGATCCTTGATCAATCCAAAGAAGCCCGATAAGACCCTAAGTGGATTTTTCAATATCTCACCGGTGTAGCCCTGCAGTAGTGCCAGTCCCAGCGCAGGTGTCTACGCGCTGACCGCCACCTACGGCGGCATCGGCGGCAAGCGATTTGAGATGATGGCCGTCGTCTTCAGGGAAGAGGCCTGGACCCGCCAAGCCTTTTCGCTATTAATGCTACGACGGCTTTTATGACGACGACTACGAACACCACCACGACCTCCTAGCTCTACCATGAAGCAAGAAAACAACATCAAAGCGCTCCCGTTCTTGCGCTTCTCTGCTTCTTTGGCTTCGGAGTTGAAGGAGCGCAAACCAATCCCTAACCTGCCTGGAGGGCAGCCTTTCGCCTTACGACTTCATCAGGGCCGAAAACCTAAACCCCCTTTAAACCCGAATCTTTCCCGTATGAAAAGAGGCAACCACAGCAAATCTAGAGCCTTCTTAAGCCCTAGACCTAAAACCCGAAGTCCCCAAGCCCATTGATATCACCCCTTTCTGAGGGTCCCAAACCCCAAACCCTAAACTCTAAGAAGCCCTTTCAACACCTTTGTGAGGGTCCAAAACCCGATCCTGTAGACCTCGGGGTTTCAGGCTCCAGCCGCAGAGAATGCTGACTGGGATCCTGCAGAGATCAAGGACCCATACAGTTGTTTTATGTTTCCAAAGTACCCTAAACCCTAAACCCTAAACCCTAAACCCTAAACCCTAAACCCTAAACCCTAAACCCTAAACCCTTCATGTTTGAATACTTTTTGTTGTTTATGTTCTGGGGTTTTTTGGTTCTAGGGCCTGAGAGGGTCTTATTGTTTTATAGGGTTTTGTGGGGGCTTCCCCTTCACATGTATATACAGATACACACATATATTTATATACATATTATATATATATATATATATATATATATATATAGAGAGAGAGAGAGAGAGAGAGAGAGAGACATACATACATAGAGAAATGAATGGAACTATACAGCAGTTCTTATAGACGCAGAGGGATAGAGACGTATAAGTATACACACGCCAGAATCAAAACCCAAACCCCTGTTTATATTTCTATTCATATCTTTGTCTACATCTATATCCGCATCTGTATTTCTATCTATGTCTATATCTGTATCTATATCGATATCTATACCGCTATATCTCCTTATACGTATTCTGAAAAGAGCACCAAGTCAAGGACCGGGCTTTCCTAAGTTTTAGGTTAGGGACCCCAAAAAGCACACAAGCATAAGCATTTAAAGGGATATCCTTACCTTATTGGGCTTCATTATAAGGGGGGGGGGTATGTGGGATATCCCTATCCTAAGTTTTGCTTACATGCTTTTTGGGACCTTCTTAGGCTTCCTCAAATGTGTTGGGATTTTGAGTGTTGCTCGCCTGTGTTTTACCGAAGCTACGGGGGCTGGGGGGAGAAGGCGTTTCAGGGTTCCATGAGGATTTCAGGTGCCAGGTACGGCCATAAGAACTTTAAGACATATTGCTGCGCATGTCAAGTTGCAACGTGGTCGGCTACTTAGTACAGATTGTATCATAGTATACCTCTCAACCCGAGTCTAATTATTAAGGCCTCTATATTACTTTAGTTAGCTCCGTGCAGAAAATATCCTCCTTTTCAAATCCTGTCAGCTAAGCAAGCTCCTCCGTCGATCTCGGACTCCTCATTCGCCAAACTCCTTGGTGGCATCAGGGAGACTCCTTAAAGGGGGACCTTTCTTCACCCTACTTCTGGCTCTCTTAAAAGGGACCCCACTGAAAGGGTCTATATCCCCAAGAGTGCCCCCTAGCCCCTAAACTCTTAAGCCCTAAACCCTAAACCCCCTAAACCCTAGACCTTAATCCCAACTCTTACAAGAGCCAGGACAGCTGTTTGCAGAGGTTGCAGCAAGCAGGGCATGCCGGGGAGGTTCTGGAGGCCAGGCAGGGTTCAGCAGGGCCTTGCAGGGGTGTGCGGTTCTGGTTCAGTGTACTGAGGGAGCCCAATACCCCTTAGCTACGGAATATTATCGTAAAGAGCCTTATATTCCTTAGTTCAGGAATATATCTTACATCGTAGGGGGCTTATTCCTATGACTTAAGGTATTTTGGTGTCTTTTGGGTACAGGACTGCTGCCAAGTTCAATGGTCTTGAGGGCCTGCCCGGAAATCCCGCGCTCTGCTTCGAGGTTTCAGGTCCCATAACAAACCAACTCGAACTCAACAAAGCCAGGCGCAAGCCCTAAACCCTAAACCTGAAATCTTCGTAAACATGAAAAACTCTAAGCCCTTTCAAACCCTAAATCCTTTTAACCCTCCCGCTCTCGAGGTCGCCAAGGGTTGTGAGCGCTTCTTCGAGCTGGGTGTCTTCGAGAGGCAGGGCTTCCTTTAAAGGGATCTATAAGGGTTCCTATAAGGGACCTACAAGGGTTCTATGAAGGGTTTTTAGGGTTTTGGGGTTTAGGTTTTAGGTTTGTTTTTTTGTTTTGGTCGAGGCTTGTCAGGTGAAAGTTTCCAAAGCTGGTTGAGGGTCTGTTGGGTTTGTAGTCTCTTTTGATCCGGTACGCTGAAGCCAAAAAGCCCGAAAGCCCTCTTGAGGCCCTTATCCCTGAACCCAAAGTCCCAAACTCTACAACGCCACGGCTGGCCCCGAAAGAGGCCCTAGACCGTAAAGCCTTAAACTCTAAGCTTTCATGTCTTCACATGGCAGTTTACAGGTTTCATCTCACCAGCTTTTCGAGCTTGCTGGACCGCCTGGGCTGTCCTTTGGGGTTTGGGGCCTTTAGGGTCTAGAGCCTACTGGGTTTAGGGCCGGGGCCTCCCATTCTTCATGCCTCGAGGTTGGGTCTGGACTTGAGCTTCAGTGGGCTTGCTCCTTAGGGTTTCAGGAATGTGTTTGGCTTTAAGAGGCAGGAATCGATGTGGTTGGAGTGAGGGTGCTTTTTCGCTTCGCGGAATCGGCACCGTCCAGCAGGAACGCAAACACCTGTAAGCCAATTGCTTTCCCAATGATGTGCGATCCAAGCGGTGGGTGGGTAAGTATTAGAGGCAAGGCAAGCTTGACAAGCGATTGCTTCAACTTGCCTGATCCCTAAACGGCACAAAACTCTAAACCCAACATCCTAAACCTAAAACCGCTAGACCCCTAAAGCCCTCAACCCTCAAACCCTTAGCCCCAAAACGGTCTAAAGCCCGAAACCCAATGCCCCAAGCCCGGCCCGAAGAGGACCCCAAACCCTGGACCCTAAACCCTAAACCCTAAACCCTCATCCCTATACCTTAAACCCCAAACTAGACCCTGAACCCTAAACCCTAAACCCTGAACCCTACACCCTAAACCCTAGTCCCTAGACCCTAAACCCTAATCCCTAAACCCCAAACCCCGAAATGAACCCTAAACCCAAAAGAGGCCCGTGGGATTGAACCGCTGGCACCGTGGCCGGGTGGTTCTCCTTGGCGACTCGGCGCACGCTATGCCACCCTTCCTGGGCCAGGGCGCGAACCAGGTGGGGGCCTTTTTCGACTACTTGAAGGTTCATGGGGGTTACAAGTATGTAAGTTACAAGTATGTAAGGTAACCGTAATTATAACCCGGATTAGGGGGCTTATAACCCCACTTATAACTACCCATGAACCTTCAAGTCGGGTTCAGAGTTTGGGGTTTTGGGGTTTAGGGGTTGGAGTTGAGACTTGCTTTCAAGTTACAGCAGAAAGGTTTCTGTTTAGCATAGCAAAAAATGTCACGATGAGAAGGTAACCATCAAGGGTGGTCGTAAAGCTATTGTTGCAAGGTCGTACCTGGAAGGTACGTCGCACCCGCGCAACTTCTGTGTGATGGTCCGAACGCAAGAGCGCCAGTCGACAGGTCGTCGGACGAGGTGATACCCAAATTCAGGATTTCCTGTCAGCCACCTGTGGCCACAGAAGTTCGCACCTTGCCGTCAAGATCAAACGGAAAACTCGAGAGGGGATAAACGTTTTGGCTTGGCCACAAAATGGGAGTTTCCGAAAATTAGGGGTACCTTACATGTTGGGATCTTTAGAATAAGCATCCTGCTATTCAGGGTACTATATTCGGGCCCCCTATTCCCGGAGACTCCCGAATCCAGAACTTAAGGCCGACCCCAAACCCCACGCCCCAACATCCGCGCGACCTGGAACCACAAGGCCAACGTCCCCAAACTCAGCACCCCGAACCCACAGGCCCAGACGCCAAGATTTAATTACATACATATAGTAGACAGTAGATAAATGGAAAAACAGATACAAAGATAAACAAACGGGCAGGTGAATACATGGATGAGTACAAACATGCATAAACAAGAAACAAATGAATAAATGCATGAACACAAGAATAAACAAGTTAAAGCATCAAAGGCATCCCTAAACCCTACACCCCAAACCCTAGACCCTATACCCCAAACCCTAGACCCGGTAGCCTAAACCCCCTGTTGACTTCTTGGGTCCGTCCTGAAGCGCGGGAGCAGGCCATCCAGGATGCCGTGTGCCTCGCGCGTGGCCTGGGCTGCAGCGGAAGGAACGCAGAATTTGAGGGGGGTTTAGGGTTTGGAATTTAGGGTTCAGCAGCTCCGGATCCAGCAGTATTATGGGAATGCCACAGCAACGGTTTTGATATAGCACCCACCCACCCAGAGTATCTCATAACATTAATAAGAAAATACACTTCAACCATATAGGTCGGTTCAACAGTTTCTATTCAACAATGACCTGTCTACTTTGGTTCGCATTACTATTTTCGAGTCACGCTTTTATTTTAGGGTTCGAACTGTTACTGTCGTTTTGTGGTTCGGACTAAACGAAACTCTAAACGGGAAGAGCCTAAGCGGAGACTTAAAAGGAACCCTAAACGGAACCCTAACCGGACGGAGTCCTAAACACTTAAACGGAACCCTAAAGGAACCTTAAACGGAAAGCATCCTAAGCGGAGACCGAAAAGTAACCCTAACCGGACGGAATCCCAAACGGGACCCTAAAAGAAACCCTAACGGAGACCTAAACGGAATCCCAGACGGATTGGCCTGAAACCAAGAACGACTTGAACCACGAATGATTGACTTTGCCTTCAACCACGAATTATTGGAATTGAACCATGAATTATTGGCCTTTAACCACGAATATCTGGCTTTGCACCACGAAGTCTTTAAAGTTTCAATTATCATATGAAAGAGAGGTTTAGGGTTCAGGGGTTTTGGGTTTAGGGGTTTAGGGGTTTGGGGGTTGAGGGGTTTAGGGGTTTAGGGTTTAGGGCTTGCGTGGCTTCGGGTTTGGGTGATAAGCCATGAACCCTAAACCCTAAACTTACAGGGGTTTTCAGGCTTTGAAGATCAACATCCTGTGGGCTCTAGCGTCTACAGGGTGGGGGTGAAACTCACGGGGCTCTCCTCGTCCGGGTTTCGGGATTTTGGCTTAGGGCTCGAGGGTTAAGGGATTTAGGGGTTTTAGGGCTTTAGGGGTTAGCTACGTGGAGGATCATGGGACTTAGGAAGTAAGGGTATAAGCACCTCAATTGGGGTTATAAGTATAGTTACCCTTCTTATAACCCTAGTTCCTAAGTCCCATGATCCTTTAAGTAGCCTTTCGGGGATCTTGGGGCGAGGGCAGTTCGTGACCGAGGATTTAGGATTATTTTTTTTTTGGGGGGGTGATGAAGAGTTGATGCCTTCTTCCAGTCTGTCTTTAAGGGTTCATGCAAGGGTACCATAAGGGTTCTCTATGGGTTTAGGCTTTAGGGCTTAAGGGTCCATGTAATAACCCAGCATAGAAAAATACAACCCAAAAATCTTTTTCTGATTTTGGATGAATGTCCCTATGGTATGGCTTGGGTTGGGGCATCAGGGCTTCAAGAGAGCTGCTTCGGTTTAAGATTCTTTGGTGGCTAAGAGTCTAGTGTTGTTGTTCTAGTTTGCAGCGGTCTGTTTTTTTTGGATCAGCCATCAAGCCTAAACCTTCAACCCAAAGCCTCAAACCTGAAACTCCAAACCGTCAACCTTGAACCCTAAACCTAAGCCCGAAGCCCCAAAGCCCGAAGAGAAAGCATGGCTGATTTTGAAGCTCCTCAGCCCCGAAGCGTGGGTTTGTTTAGGGCTATCATGAGGCATTCAGTTTTTGGGCTTTTACGGTTCAGGCGAGGTTTAGGTTCCTCCGTAAGAAAGGACCCAGCAAACTTTGGCGCAACAGTCGTCGATATCGGCTCTGGTTTTCTTTCTAGGACAGGAGCCCTTGCAGGAAGCTTTAGTGCAATGTTTCAGGTGCAAGGTACTTCGATTGATTCATCCATCACTGGTGAACAAACCCTACAACCCAAATCTCTAACTTCACCCCCTGGCAAACCTTATAGAACACTTATAGAGACGCTGCAAAACGCTGGTACCACCTTTCTAGAACCCTGACGGAACCCATTTTTTCATGTATCGGACCTAGGACCCCTTCTGGGACTCTAGGAGCCCTGATACAGCCGTTGCAAAACCCCGATACAACGTTTCTAAAACTTCAGAGCGAACCGTTGTAGGAACCGCAAAAGGAACCCTCACAGGAAATCGTTGTAGGAATCCTTACAGTAACCCTTCGAAGAACGTTGTAGGAACCCCATGGAGGAATCAAAACCTACACACTAAACCCTAAACCCCAAAACCACTGAACCCTTGACCCCTAGACCCCTAAACCCTCATTTCAGGTTGGCTGCGCCGGGTCGGCTTCGCCGATGGTCCAGGATCCTTGGAAGCTGGCTTGCTGCACGGCTGAAGGGAACCCTTTAAAAGTACCATAGGGGCCTTATCCCTAAACTCCTAAACCCTTGTAGACCCCAATTCAAGGCAGCCTTATGGTACCTTGAAGCGATTACTGTAGGGGCTTAACTAATTACCTCGAATATTTTGGGGGTTCCTTGGTATGACTATAGTATCATGGCTGCAGGTATCCGATTCAAAGGTACTACGAATGGGTCTATAAGGTTGCAGGACTTTGGGGATTTGGGGTTTGGGGGTTTAGTTTTATCTACGCTATTTCGGGGGCTCCATATTATAATCATAGTATAGTATATACCCAAAACCCTATGAGGAAGGTACCATAAGGGCTTCTGTTGGGTTCAGGGACTTAGGGCTTTGGATTTTATGGGTTTAGGGTTTAGGCTCTTAGTGTTAGGATTTTGGGGATGAGGGTCTAGGGTTTAGTGTTGTGGCATGGGTCAGGTCACAGCTTTCTGCGGCCCCAGAGAGCCCAATACCCCTTAATTAAGCAATATACCTTAAGTTATATGGGGCTTCATATTATGATGTAAGCTATATTCCTTAATTAAGGGGTATTGGGCTCTCTGGGGCTGTGAGGCTTTCGGAATCAGGGGCTGTGGGCTTCAGGGTCTCCAGGGTTCTTGCAGCTGTGTGATCTGCGGGTTGTCGGGCGTTCTGTGCGACTACTTGGAGGATCATGGGACTTAGTAAGTAAGGTTATAAGTACCCTAATTCGGGTTATCAGTATAGTTACCCTAATTATAACCCCAGTTCCTAAGTCCCAGGATCCTTGAAGTAGTGTCTGTTTCACCGGTTGCTCATCCTGCGATTTTGCTTTGTCTCCTCGGGTGTCGTACGAAGCATTCAGGGATCCGAGCTTGGGATGTTTCAGAAATGGTTTAGGGTTTAGGGTTTAGGGTTTAGGGTTTAGGGTTTAGGGTTTAGGGTTTAGGGTTCAGGGTTTAGGGTTTAGGGCTTCAGGGAAGGGAGGGAAAGAGTTGAAGAACCTTCGTACCTCCAACGCAACAGTCCATTGGTGAGGGCGTGTGGCCAAACACGTTTCAAGTGTGTAGGGTTGGAGGAGTTCAGGGTGTGCGCTTTTTTTTCTGGTTGCGGAGTTGAGAAGCTTGGGCCATGGTTCTATGATTCAAAGCCGGGAAGCCCGAAGCGATGGCGCCAAAACAGATAGAGGGAACTCCAGAAAGTTGGAATATGGTTTCAGGGTAGGATACCTTATAATTTACCATACAGGGTTTAGGATAGTCATATTCCAACTTTCTGGCTTTTACTATACTGGTAGGCAGGTCGCAATGAGACCGGACCCCCCCTGGAAGCTTGCAGGAGCGGAGTTTACGAAAATAGGGGACCCTAAGAAAAGTACCCTAATTACTAGGATCCCTATTATAAGACCCCAAAAGCAGGTACCCCCTAATTTTCGGAAACTCCCATATCTACGTACGATTACTTGCAACATGTACTGCTTGCAACGCTAGTTATTCCTACCCATGATCCCCAAAAGCCTTTTTTGAACTCACAAGCTGCACGGTCTTGTGCAGACCGGCGGGAGCCGTGAAGGAACTGCTGAGTGTAAGGTTATGAGGCTAATACACTTCTTTGGACTTCGGAAGGCAAGCTCCCAGACAACACCTGAAGCCTGAGACGCCCCTGTGAAGTCGAGTATCGGAAGGTCTGGACCCTTAAGTCAGCAACTTGGGGTGCACGGCTCTGGGTTTAGGCTACAAAGCTCAGAACCCAAATTTTGAGTCCAAAACTCATCCTCAGACTTGAACAAAATCGCTCAGAGTTTCGCTGCAGGCTCGGCTACACGGCGCAGCGCTTGCCCCCGGTGGCTCTTTGGCTGCGCATCTACTACAGAAGACCAACTAATTACCAACACCATTCCTTAGGGCTCCGCATTATAACGATCCTATAATGTACACCAAAACCCTCTAGTTATCCTATAATGTACAACAAAACCCTCTAATGGTGAAGGCTCCTACATAAAACCCCTTTTAGTGGCCATTACAGTGATACTTGTTATAGACCCCTTTAAACGGAACCCCTAATGTTTAAGGACAATACACAAGACCCTTAAACCCTAAACCCTAAACTCTAAACCCTAAACTGTAAACACTAGATGTTACTTTATCATGTCGTGTCCACACAGTGGTCACATCCTTTTCAACGTTAAGAACAAGACTGAGCAATTTGGCAGCTGCCAAATCGGACACAACACCAGGTTCTATAGGCATGTTGCTCACAAAGCGTGGAGCGGGGAGCTGCAGGTGGGATGGGAGAGTTGTTTTCGTGCCAAGTTTCATTGAGGGAACAACAGCAGGAGCCGAGTCACAGCCTCAGCATGCAAAGGGGACATCGAACCCATGTTTGTCAAATCCCACTAGACGTTCTAGAGTGCGTAAACAATCAGCCGGATAGGATTAGCCGATTATCCACTGCTTGGTGTTCTCGACCGAATGGTCAACCCCAGCTTCTAGACTCTAGACTTTCTTGAGCTTTGTCAGTTGTTTCCACCTGTACAACAGACACCGTCCGGAAAATAGGATATGCATTTTGCAGGCCTCCTTGGAACTCATCACTGAAAGCTCCATGCGACCTAATTCGGCAGAGGGCCCTGAAAGTTGCCTGCGAGTGGTTGGAAGCTACTCCCAGCAGCAGCTGTTGCTATGCCATTGGCGGAACGGCCCCTTGTAGCTCCGCAGCTCCTTGCAACTGCAAATGCTCCATCTCCCGGACATCCTCGGCATAAAGACACGGAGGTGTACTGTCCAGCATGATGCGAGGAAGAAGCTTGAGGTCCTTTCATTGCGAGTGAGGTCGTCAGGTTGCTGGAACACGAGGTTGCTCCAGCCAGACTCGTGATCGAGGTGCTGGGCAAGGTGTCCGTGCCAGTTCCTCGCGGGGCGGGGTTGCGCATGGTGCAGCAGCTTGTAGCCGCCGTCCGCTGCGTGCACGGGATGGATGTTTGCCACCGGGATTTGAAGGCACGTGTTGCGGCTTGTTCTCCGACTCATGTTCTGTTGGCCTTGTTCTGCCCATGCGAGCCTACAGTGCGGGAGTGCCTGCTATGTCCGTAGGTCAACAACATCATGCAGACAACACGTGGCACCCTGAAGATCATCGATTTCGGCTTGGCTTCTCCAGCGGGGCAGTTCAATGAGCGTGTAGGGACGCTGTAGGGGCCTCGGCCGTGAGCATGACCGAATTCCCAAGCACCACAGCCGGCACAGCGAGGCTTTCGTTTCTATTTGCTTTCGCAGTCGGGGGCCATGCGGACCAGACTCCACAGGAATTGACATATCGGTCATACCCTCTCCCAACCCCCCCCTGAGATGTTGCCTGCGAGAACCTGTACATCGACGCCGAAAGGAGGCTCACCATTAACACTGACCATGCCTATCTTCATGCTGAAATCTTCGTGAGAAGGAAAGCCACTCAATTCGTTTGGGGAAATGATTCCAGAGCCCGGTGGGTCCATTGTGATCTGCCTGAGACGGTCATCGTTGACGAGAAAGATATAGTGAAGCTTGGAAAGAAATGTGTTCGCCCCCGCAGATCTACTGCTTACAGAGACAATGATGGGGTGAAGAATGCCATTGACTGTGCCAAGAACTCTGGGGCGAAGAATGATTGGAAGAAGGTACATCGCCTTCGCCGTGAAGCTCGTAAGACATGGGAAGAGGCCAGACTTTCGCGAATACTCGTTGGAGGATGGGAGGAGTTCAGGGCCTTGCAGAATAAGAGAGGCTGGTGGGGAGAGTTACTCAAGGACAAGTCCGCGAAGGAGCTCACTGCAGAGGTAACTCGTCACCTCGAGAGTAAGATGGTCACTCCTGGTATGCAAGGTTGGGATGATGAGCTCGACGGGATGATTGCCAGTCTGCCACCGGCACGCAATTTTGAGGAGTTCTGTATCCAGGATGTCAGAACTGAACTTCAAGGGATGAAATGCAGGAGTGCTGTTGGCCCTGATGGCATTAGAGTGCACCTTCTTCGTGAAATTGCTAGCCACGGTGAGTTTGCGCAACAACTGGTTGATCTCATTGACCACATCATTGTCAATCAGCAGACGCCACACAGATCGAGTGTCAGCTTCCTGTCTCTGCTGGCTAAATGTCCTGTCCCTCAAAAACCTGGTGACCTTCGCCCGCTCGCCGTCAGTTCAGCCTTCAATAAGCTGGTGAACCGCCTTGTATGCACTCGCATCCTTCCCGTTTTTCGGAGAGGTTCCCGAATCTCCGCATGCGGAAGGGGGCGACAAGCTGCAGACCTTATTGGGGCGACCTCCAGAATCCGTGACGTTGTTCATGAATGGCGCATGCCCTGTCTCGTTTGCAAGCTTGATGTATCGGGCGCCTTTGATAGAGTCGACAGACGCAAAGTCGCCCAACTCCTCCGAGACCGGTTGAATGGGGAGGAACTGACTGCTGAACTGCGCTATATCCTTGGCCACTCCACACTCATGTGCTGCAAGGACAAGTTCCGGGAGGACATTCTCTCATCGTTTCTCCTAATAACGGGATTAAACAGGGTGCTCCCGAGAGCGCTCGTGCCGATCGTAGTCGAAGTCGAGACAGCTGACACTTTGTGCGAAATGATGGTGGGCGAGTGAGCTCTCTGGGGTGTAGGCCTGTTGTGGCGGGCTCAAGACCTGCTCTCTGCGGAGTGGAGAAAGAGCTATTGCACCTTAAAAAAGATGTTACTCTAAACCTTAAAGACCCTTCTTGTAGCCCTTGAAAGTATCCTCCAGGGTTCGTTTAAGGGATCCTTAAAAGTTCCTTTGAGGATCCTTAAGGGTTCCTTTACGGCGTCGTTCAGGGTTCCTTTAAGGGGAATCGAGGCCGTCCTGGGCATTGAGAGCGGATTCCTGGGACAAGTCGAGCTGCCCGGCTGCAACGAATTAGGGTTTAGAGTTTAGGGCTTGGGGTTTCGTTTAGAGTTTAGAGTTTTGGGTTTTGGGCTTTCGGTTTCGTATAGGGTTTGGGTTTTGGGTTTAGAGTTTAGGATTCCTTTAAAGGGTACTATAAGGGTTCCTTTAACAGATCTATAGGTTTTGGGCTTAGAGTTTAGGGTTTTGGGTTTTGGGCTTTGGGTTTCGTATAGGGTTAAGGGTTTTGGGTTTAGAGTTTAGGATTGCTCTAAAGGGTACTATAAGGGTTCCTTTAACAGATCTATAGGTTTTGGGCTTAGAGTTTAGGGTTTTGGGTTTTGGGCTTTGGGTTTCGTATAGGGTTAAAGGTTTTGGGTTTAGAGTTTAGGATTCCTTTGAAGGGTACTATAAGGGTTCCTTTAACAGATCTATAGGGTTTGGGGTTTAGAGTTTAGAGTTTAGGGTTTAGGGTTTTGGGTTTGGGGCTTTGGGTTTCGTATGGGGCTTAGGGTTTTGGGTTTAGAGTTTAGGGGCTAAGGGTTTAGGGCTTCGGGAACGCTAAAGGCCCCCCAGCCCAGGAAGCAAGTTTACACATGTGCTTATCTGATCGTGGCTTGACTGCTTGAATGATGTTCGGGAGACGTAGTATATGAAAACCACGTATTTGCATCTGATCTCCAGGCAATTTCAGCCGCAGGCCGAACGTGGCAAGCAGCTTTTGCATAAACATCCCTAGTCTTTATACCGGAACCCGAACGGCAGGAACGCGCTCGCATTCGTGATTTTACATGCAGTCGAAAAGCCTCCCTGAATAATTTGACAACAAGGCTTGCTTCTGTGTCTTGTTCGCGGCTACATGCTTTGGCACATAGGTTCACTGCAACAAGCTCAACCTTAACTTGTCTAAACCCTACACCCCCGGAGGCTAAAACCCAAACCTAGACCCGCAAACTGAAGCCTTCAAACAACAACAAATCGGAGCCTTAGGGTTTAGGGTTTAGAAGTTTAGGGTTTCGGGTTTAGGGCTTTGGGTTTAGGGTTTTTAAAACCAAGCACTGAAGCACCCAGGACATTGCCCGGAGATCTCGGCGCGATGGTTCGGGAGAACTTCTTCCGGCTCACCGCGGGCACGGGCGTGGCAGGATGCGGCAAATGCAGGGTCTGAGGAGCACTAATAGGAACCCTCAACCTAAGCCGGACCTAAGCACTAAACCCCACTTGGAGGATCATGGGACTTAGTAAGTAAGGTTATAAGTACCTTAATTGGGGTTATAAGTATAGTTACCCTAATGATAACCCTAGTTACTAAGTCCCATGATCCTTTAAGCAAACCCCTATCGGCCCTAGCCCTACCGCAATTAGGGGCCTCGATGCTGAGCATTGGTGGCGTGTCTATCATAGTTATAAGAGATAATGGGGACCATCAGGGACAACCCAAACCCCAAACCCTAGCACCTCAACCCCTAAACCCGTAATCCCTAAGCCCTAAGCCCTGAAAACGCTAAACCCTCAGCCTTAAACCCTCGGATTTAGACGGGGTCCGATCCCTTACGCGGATCTACAATGGTTCCTCAAAGGATTTATCAGGGCTTCTATAAGGGTTCAATACATCCTTCTCATAAGGGTGCCGTGCTATATTGGGGGACCCAAAAAGTGACTTGTGATTTAGACAACTACCAGAGTCCTTGCAGACGGATTTGCGTGTGTAGATATGTCGGAAGGTCGGTGTTCAATTTCATAAGCAGTGGCTGCAGGAGTTTTGTTGTCAGGAGGGATGAGCTTTTCGGGGACTTGCGAATCGACCATGGTTGGAATGCGTGCATCAAAACTTAAGCACCCTTTTTCTCGGAGACCGGTGCTGACTGTACTAATCCTGTGGCTGGGGATCGATAGGGCTTTCTCTGAGAGGAACAAGTGAAGCATTCGTTCTTGTGTCTTAGGGTTTACGGGTTGCAGGGATTCTCGTGCCGAGCTTTGCAGGACTGGTGTTCCTCAACGGCGCGATTGCCAGAGTTTGATGCTGGCGCTCCTTTCACCTGTAGCCCCAGTCCGGCATAGCCAGCACGAAGCTTTCGAAAACTTGACACAGCCACTTTCGTACACACTATGCCTCAAGCCTCGGTTTGATCGAGTCAGAACAAAAGCAACCTCAAACCAATTCACAGAGCAGAGCCGCCGAACAGTTTTTTTTTAGGCTTATTGGTGTGAGCCCCAAACTCAAAGCCCCAAGCTGCATCAGAGTGGGTTTAGGGTTTAGGTTCGCCGTATCATGCAGGGTTTGGAATCGGCGTTGGCTGCTGAGTGTGGAGATGGACCATCCAGGTTTCACCCAGCCCTACCCCTAAACCCCTAAGTTTTCAAAACCACCTAAACCCGAACGTCTAATCGGGTTTTCGGGTTTTTGAGTATACTGCTTTGGGTTTCTTATGGATTTGGGGTCAAGGGCTTTAGGAATTTTGGGGTGTCGGGCTTAGAGCATAGAGGGCTGCATGGTCCGAGGTTGGAGGCTGTGGTAGTTTTGAGCCTGAATAGCTTACCTTCTTAAACCCTGAAGCCCCTGACCCCAAACCCTAAACCCCCTAAGCCTTAAACCCTCAACCCTAAGCCGTAAACCCTAAGCCCTAAGCCAAGCCGCAAACCCCAAACCCGAAAACCAAAACCCTATAGATCCGTTAAAGGACCCCTTATACAGGTAGTATCCTTTAAAGGAATCCTAAACCCCAAACCCCAAACCCTTCATCGGTTTTCATCGATTTTCCGCGCTGCCAGCGAAAAAGATCAGCTTCCAGTCTGGGTGATTACCACCAGCACCACCACGACGACGACGACGACGACTACTACTACTACTACTTCTACCTCTACCTCTGCTTCTACTTCTACTTCTACTACTACGTCGAGGACGACGACTACTACTACTACTACTACTACTACTACTACTACTACTACTACTCCTCCTACTCCTGCTCCTGCTCCTGCTCCTGCTTCTGCTCCTGCTCCTGCTCCTGCTCCTGCTCCTGCTCCTGCTCCTGCTCCTGCTCCTGCTCCTGCTCCTGCTGCTGCTGCTGCTACTACTACTACTGCTACTACTACTAATGATTGGTATTATTACGATTCAGACGAAACCATAGTATTAGTTTCTACGTCGGCGGTGGGCCGTCGAAGACCAGCCGGCTCGACGGCCACCACTTGCGCCGCGGCGGACCCTAACATAGTACCCTAAAAGTAGGATCCTTTTTCTACGGACCCCAAGATAAGGTACCCCCCCCAATTTTCGGAAACTCCTGCAGGACCGGCACAACATGCCATGGTGCAAAGGTCACGTGTGCGTGCCCCGAACCCGATGCGAACATGTGGAGCGGACGTCTGATTTATGAGTTATGTTTCATCGACGATCGTGCACCCTGCAGCATGTGTGTTGTGTTTCGTGCTAGATTCAAGAAGAAAGCGTTGAGCTGTGGCGTTTGTGCGGCGGTGCGTTGTGGTTGGTATTGAATTACTCAAAGCGAACAGTTGATCTGCCACCTCGCTCAAAGCATCGTGAGATACGCAAGTGTCTTGGAAACAGCTGTCGCACATTGGTGTTTGAAGCGAGTCGGGAGGCTGATTCGGAAAGACTCGCGACTTCCGCAGACGTCCTTCTTGCTGCGAAATCCGAAGATTCGATGCGGAGACGCAAAGCACAATCAACCAATGCATGTGCCGACAGCGTCACACAGGGTTGTAAGACACGTGCGAGTGACGGTTGCACGATATCTCCGCGAGAGATTTTACGCATACCGGGGAGTATGAGCAAGAGTGTCTCACAGTCCTACTCATTGTTTGTGTTTTTCGATGGACACATGTGGCCTGAGCCAGGGGCTGGGCTGAAGTGTAAGGGACAGCCACATTCAAACTCATCCCAATCCTGACGAAATATGTCGTTTTGCAAGCAGCTGGTATTTCCGCATGCCCAGTCGCTCATTGATGCCACATGCGGAAAACGACTTGCCTTGCTGCGCCATCTATTCCACCGCTTGGCCACCCGTCGCAGGTGCCATCCCTCCGCAAGGAGGGTCTGGGCATGGCTGGGCTTGGTGGGCGGCCCTGCGCGACCGCGACCGATAGGGATTCGGAGGTCAGGTGCAGCGAGGATGCAGTTTTCGGCGTTCTGCTCGTAGCCTTCGGGTCTGGTGCCGCTTTTGAACCAACGGAGGCAGGTGTCCAACTGCAGTCGCAGCGCGGGCTGGAGCGCACGTCCCGAGATTTTTGTAGGTCAGGGCCACTTCGAGCCAACTCAGCGTTGCAACCCATATAGTGGCCGATCGCCTCGGCCTGCTGGCGGGACGTGTTGCCAGCCATGCCTTCAACACAATTCGTTCCAACTTCAGACAGCCGCTTGCAATGTTTTGATCGCTTTCTGCCGAGTTTCGCGCGTTGCTTATCCATCGCCTCCGCGAGGCGTTGCCGCTGGCTACGCGTACCCGTGCCTGCTGCGGCCACCCCGCCTATCCTGCCGCTGGCACCCTCTCGCACAATTGCTAGGAGCCCGTGTCATGTTGCAAGCCACGTCTGCGCTTCGGACATGGATTGGCGTGTCCCGTCCACGATGTGCGCAGGATTGAAACTGTTTGCAACGGTGTGCTAGCCGCTAGCCGCCGTTGCTAACAAATTGTTGACACAACACACGTTTGCCCCTGCTGCACGAGCGTGCGAGACTTGGCAGGATGTTGACGTTTGGCCGGGCAGGTGCCATCCGGAATGCTGCACGTGCAACACGCTAGGCGCACTGGAGCCGCCTCGTTGCTGTCGTCGCACGATGCATATTCACGGGGTCCTAGCTCGAACTGCCCCCCGACGGAGTAGCTTGAGCTGCTGGCCAACCATCTTCGCATAAGGGACTCGACGACGATTTGAAGAACATGACGAAGCGATGTCTTGCGACCAGCGACGCTACTGTAGAACCCTCCCTGCCGTTCCCTGTGCTGGTTTGGGTTCGTTTCACAGACGTTGGATTAACGCGAGCAAAGTCCGTTAAAAAACGCATCTACTACGTGCCGAGGCTGTTCCGCGAATAGTTTTGGAATTGATTCCATAATTCCGCAAGGCCCGCCGACCCTTTGCAAAAAAAAGGAGCTAATCTTGCAGTGTTTCTCAATTTTTTCTGTTTCCCTCGCTTTTGTTATTAAAATGCGCCGACGGTTTGCAGCTGCAATCATGCAACAGCAAAACTACGGTCGCAATGTGCGCAAGGCATCGAGTTTTGCAGCGCAGTTGTTGTCCAACGACCAAACCCCACAGAGACGTCACGGCACACGCGAATCAGCACAGTGTACTTCCGGTAATTTTTGTCACCAGGCATGCCTTCTCAGAAAGTGGTGTTCCCGTGGGCTTGGCATACCATTTGCCACCTGTTGTAGCTGAACACGGCATCTTGTAACAATCGTAGTCATCGCCATCGCCATCGTATTTGTTGCCCGTAATCGTCGTCGTATGACTGGTTGTGGTTGCAGCAGTAGTGTTCTTATTGCTCGTGTTGTTTTCCGGTCCTGCTGGTGCTCGTGGTATTCGTTCGTTGTTTTTTTTGGCATTGCCCTCTTCAGAACCATGTGCTTATTCCACTTGTAGAATGAAGCCTGAATGCCCGACTCTTGTTGTGTAATGACGGTAATCGTGGTAGATGGCAACACCATCAGTACGACGATCGTGGCAAAAAAAATTGGGAGGGCGATTGCACGGAAAGAATGTTCGAAGTCTTGCGGCAGGGCTGGCAATTGCACGTGTCACGCCACAGCAGTATCCGCACCGGCACCACGCTGTGCTGCGATGCCAAGCGGGGTTCGGCCCTGCACCAAGGATGTGTCAGCGTTTGACTTGTCCTTGATTCAGTGTGCCGGCCGCTGCGACGTCATCAGCAGTGCAGCAACTCTTCGCATGCATTGCTTTCGACAATCCACTTTTTGCATTGCACGGTGCGCACTATTCCTCGACTGCGTGCCAACAGAGCATAGCAGCGCTTCAGCGCGGGCGTTGCGCCGCTGGGGCATGTCTGTCAGGCTGTTTCTGGCCAGGATGGCTTAGCATGGATGGTTTCCCGCGTGTACATCATGGCATCGGCGGGTCGCTGCGAGCATCAGAATGCGAAAGGTGAACCAAGATTATGCGGAGCACAGCCGATCCTCCGCACCCTGGAACTTCGTGTTGGGCCAACAAGCAAAGTGCGCGGCTTTGCGCTGGGAGTTGCTGATACTCTGAGCAGCATAATTCGTTCGCAACAGCTCCGCACACTGCCAGGTGTCCAATAGACTGGGACAGCAAAACCAGCCGCGGCAGGCACATCGCATGCGTGCAGAAGGTCATGCACAGCCGACCACTCACCACCTCTGCGGTCGTCGAGGGCGCACCAGGGACACGGCGAGCAGCTCGTCCCGCACGCGCAGAACGGCAACAGCAGGCGCGTGCCGGGCAGCGCTGCGCAGGCCCAGACCACCATGACGGAGAGCAAGCTGTGCAACACGTGAGGCGGCGGGAGGCAACGGGGACGAACCTTCGGCCAGCAGCGACGAACCCAAGCCGCAGTGGTCGGCGACGGCCTCGACAGCAACGTCCTCGCCCTGGAGCGCGTCATGGTGATGTAGAGATCGTCCAGAAAAACGCGACCAAGCTGTCGTCCGGGTGGAGGGTGGAGGCCGCGCGGTGCAGGGCATCGTGCTGACCCAGGGCAAAATAGGGCAAACCAGGCACGGGCCAAAGGGTCCCCTGTTCCCAGCCTTCGCCTTGCTTGATTTCGCGGCACCGACCAGCTGTGGGAGGAGGGACGTCCGGACAAAAAAAAAATACAAACGGCAGCAGACTGGCAGCGGCTCGGGCGCGACCTCGTCCAGCTTGGTGAAGAATGCGGCCCTGGACATGCAGTCGTATGCACTGCGGCCGTCAAGCGATACCTTTACCGCGTCCGGTCGCAGTGCCAGTGCGGCTCGGACATGGGCTACTAAAGCATCCGTGCCGGCCCGTGCCTGCAGCGCAACTTGACAGGGGCCAG